AGACCCACCATTTATACAAAATTTGTTCCCCTTCCACCAAGGATGATTCTGACCAAATTTGGTTCATGACTGGTAGCGTTTTAAAGGAAAAGTGGACGGACGGACGATGGACTCGGTGCGATATGGCATAAGCTCACCATGGTCCGAACAGAAAGCACTAGATATCTTAGTTTTGTATAAACTCTGTTATCTTGAATCTCCCTTCAAACTCAACATTTATAGCAAGTACCCGGTTATCTGGAATCGCCCATCTGATCATACTCAAACAGATAGTTATACTCTTTCTTGAAGCACCACTAACTTACTTTTTCATAAAGCTAACAAGATTGTCTGTCGTTCTTCCCATTTTGTAGTCAAATGCTTCCTTTCCATCTCTGTAAAAAGGCATTGAGTATTTCAATAACAATGTAAACACATAATTTGATATATTCTGTATGAAATGAAATTGAGATTTTGCTCAATCATATTACCATATCCCTGTATTTGACACAAACTTGAGGCAATCATTAAAGTACCAGAGGGGAAAAAAGTTATAAAAGTGTCATTTTCGTGAACTACATAAAAAGGATAATATCTAATAGGAGATGAACAACATAGAAAACAGTACAAACATGAAACTTAGCATCAAGTTTGGTTAAAATCCATTATTCTTGCTGAAGGAGTGTTTGATTGCATGTGTTTTGTGCACAGGCTAATATAACTGTCATCTGGTTATAATGCTCAAAGTGAATTATTAAGGGCTACTAACTTAATAGAGTGATGCTGATGGAAGCATTCCCTACAAGCAAGCAGAAAAAAGGTAAACCACTTACTTGAAATATTTCACTGAAACAAACAAAAGAACAACAATACAGATTTATCATCAATAACAATATTCCCAAATCTAAATCTATATCTAGCACTGCATTTTAGTTGGATGCATAGAGGGATTGAATCTGGATTTGTCCAAAGCTAATGCAAGTATGAACAAGGGAACATTTACTTACACCCCACATGAGCAGCTGTAGTACATTTGGTATGTATGTTCTGTAAATCAAATGTATGACATAGCCTAAAATACTTTCAATTGGTAACCAAACCAATAATTAGACTTTCTTCAATAGTTTTATTACAGTTCCTTAATAAGAGAGATGCCATTAGGCTGCAAATATGTGCACACTCAATGAATATGATTCCCAGTACTTACATGCAGGGTATCCCTTTACCCCAAACTTGGAGGCCAGATTTGGCTCTAAAGTGGCATCAACTGCAGCTAAAACTCCATCAATCTGTCAACAAGCAAAATATGACATTGCATAGAATAAGATTTAAGAATTAGATTCAACTAGCTGAAATGGTGAGTGCCTCTTAAGTAATATTTATAGCAATCTACTAACAGAGGTAAGGTACATTTCTTAGATTTACATTCCACAAGGTATCGCAGAGAAATACTCATCCCCCGAATCAGAGTTAAAGTTAAATGATGACACAACTTGAACGTTGATACCAAAGTATAAGTCTGAAGCAAGCATTTTTGTTGAGGAAGCACTGCATGAATTTGTGTTTGAGTTTCTCGCTGGAACATGAGTGATTGTTTTAAAGTTAATTTTCTATGTTAAGTTCCAGTGACCTTAACCTTTGACCTTCGAACGTGAACACCATGCCAAGCAACATTTTCACTGAGGAAGCAGTGTACGAAATGTGATTTTTTGGCTCAAGGAACTCGGACTCAAAAATTTAATAATATCAGGACAATAGGAGGTCAAAGTTATTGTTTGGAAACAGAGGTGAGACAGACAAGCATCATCACACATTTCTGTTGAGGAAACACTGAAAGGACAGTGTAGAATCATAGCACAATAAATCCTTGAAGCCAAGACACCAACCAAATTTCTTCTATTTGTTTAGTTCCTTTATATAGTTATCAACTGTAAAATGTGTTGCAATTTCAATTATTGTGATAAGACATATCTGTTAAACGAAATTTCTGATGAAGATTCAAGGAAAAAAAAGATACTTAGGAAAGCTAGACCAAAAATAACATGCATCCTTCATTAAGATTTTTCAGGATAAAAAATAAAAATATGTCTATTTCTTTGTTAAATGACATAATGCAGCATTTTTACCTCCTGGCCATTGAGAATAGCCGCTGCTTCTCCATAGGCTGGTTTCATTGCCTTACAATGTCCACACCCTGAAAATAGACAATTCTTTATACAAAGTCAACTATATTTTTCATAACCTTTGAAATATGTCTAAATGTTCTTCTATTTCAACATTCTGGCTACCAGTGTCAATCAGTATATTTTACTTCATTTACTGAAAGCACCACTGCAGTAATATTTATTAAACGTTATGTATTATCCCTAACCATATTGTATATCTCTGAGGCTGCCCTTTATGGAATTAACATCAGGCAGAAATGAAAAAGTATTGGATTCCCTACATCTGTTGTGTCATCCTCTACACATTCAACATTATATTATATCCTTTTCTGTAGTATATCTCTGGGTAAGATTTTTGTACAATATCCTTCTGGCAGATATGAGAATGTATAAGATTCCCCACATTTGTAATCTCATCTAACCACTTTATGTTTGAAGGAAAAGTGTGTAACACTGTTCAAAAAAATATCCCCTCAAGGTGTCAATTACCTTCCGTTATAGTACTTACATGGAGCATAAAACATAACAAGGACGGAGCTGTGTTCCTTCATGAAGCCATCAAAGCTGTCCGTGGTAAGGAATCGTAAATTTTCCATACCGACTACCTCTGCCCACTGTTGAGCAGGTGTCTCTACAGCAGGAGCTGGGGGTGAGGCCCCCGGATTCTGTGGGTCACTCATAAAGTTCACAAAGTCAGCCTCCTACAAACACAACACAAGGG